TTTTTATCTTATCATTCTGTCGGATTGCAATCTATATTTGGTCCTAACACACACGCAAAGACAAACACTCACACTCGCACAAAAATGCACACACACACACACACACATATATATATATATATATATAGAGAGAGAGAGAGAGACAGAGATAAGCGTTCCTATATTTTCAACATTTCTCTTATAACCGACCTTTGTCTGTAATTTCGTCGCCACTTATATATAATTCTATCAATAAAAAAAATTATTCACTCTGAAAAAGTTCTTTTGTCACATAGAATTTTGGCATTTAAGATAGCGAAGGGCTCTTCGTTGGGCTTTCATCACAATAGCTAGAGTAGAGTAGATGCAATAGGCAACAATAAACTACAGAAGAACTCAAAATCGATCGCTGCATTTAAGTATTGCATTAATATTTAAGCTTGCCTTTTAAAAGTTCAACGATAATTCTTCTGTCGTCACTTAATTTAAAGACAGTTTGATGTACGTAGGTCCTTACTTTCCGTACAAACAATTATTTTTATCTCATCGGTCACTTTTACTGGATTTCGCAATTAATTTCGATTATTCCCAAATTTATTTCTAAGTTATAAAAATTGTTTTCGTACAAAAAATTCGTCGCAAAAACAATCACGTAAAAAATCGCCGAAAACAATGGCAGTCATGAAAACTTGGGAATCCAAGATTTCCGAGCTACGTTACGCTACGGCCTCTAGGAGTAATGTTGAAAAAGCGTGACAGTCAAACACTAATATTCGCATTTATAATCCTAAAAGGATATGGTTCCTGTTATTTGGTACACTTCTTTGTTTATGATATATATATATATATATATATATATATATATATATATATATATATATATATATATAACTGTACATTACAAAATAGGTAAATAAAACAATGGTTCCAAAGCGGGGTTTACCAATCGCTCGGAACAATACCAAACAGAAAATGTTATTCGTCTGATTTTTGCTTCATTTATTTCTGATTTGATTTATATGTCAAAATTAATAATCTGAGATACCCTTTTCTGTCTTCGGTCAGTATGGCTGATGCTAACCTCCAGGAGAATGACTCGTTGTGTCTTCTCGGGCAAAGGTTCTCAGCAGGCATGAAGTGGAAAGACTATATTGAAGCCATTGCTAGGTCAGCTGCTAAGAAAGTTCGTTCACTGTGTAGTGCTAGACAATTTTTCTCTTCAGAATCTATCTTACATATCTATAACTCTACCATTCGTCCATGCTTATAATATTTGCTGCCACATGTAGTGCAGTGCTTCTGCTAAATATCTAGAGATCCTTGATAAAATCCAAAGAATCAGCAATACTATTGGTCTGGATCTGGTGTCTAGGATCCAGTCACTTTCCCACCGCCACTGTAGTTGGCTTAAGAGATCTTTGTTTTTTATATTTAAGAAAAACTTTATTTTATTTCATTGAAGTAAGTATAAGTTTTGTTAATAGTATTCCCTATGGACTTTGCTATATTATTTCAAGGTTTTATTGCAAAGACAATCGAAACTTTTTTGCCTGAAATTCACTAAGAGAGTGTAATGTAGAAAACGTTGTCTTTTCGCTTGGAAGTTTATTTAACGTTTTTCAGTTAATTTAATATTCTTCTCTATGAATTCTTTATGATTTACTTTTTTTCTAAAGCAAATTCATTGATGAACAATTTTATTTTATTTATGCGCAATCTGTATTTCCGTTTCTAACAAATGAAAAAAAAAAAAGCCCAGGTTAAATTTTTACCACGCCGGGGACACGTCTAGTGAGAATTGAATTTCTTACGTTAGTAATGGCGTTTTGAAACTATCTCGTTAACTGCTACTCCACGGCTAGGCATCCAAAGAAACGTACAGGGTGTCCCCCATTCCGCATAAAAAAAAAAAAAAAAAAATTAACATCATTTTGTAGTCTAATAACAAAGCCAATTCTCGCTCAAATGATCTCAAATTTCAACAAAGTGTGTAAAAACTAATTAATCTGTAAGGACTTATCTCAATGAGATTCTACCAGGCAGATGATGTGGCGTGCCAGTGATAATGACAACCTGTTGCTGAAATGGCCCCCCACGTTCATCTGACTTGATAACTCCGATTTTTTTCTATGGGGCTATGTGAAAGGACCGATCTATATCCCTTATCTTCCTACAAGCCTAGTAGATAATCCCTGTGACGCTGGAGAATGTTACGCAAGGCATGCTACAGCGTGTTTGACAGGAACTGGACTACCGACTTGACATATGTCATGGCACAGGTAGTGCGCATATTGAACATTTATGAAGCTTTGTGAAATTGATTATAAAATCTACGTCTCTTTGAATATCTTGTTCAAATTTTGATAATAAATCTTTTCTTGATCAACATGAAGCCTATTTAATTTTGTTTACCAGGGACATATAGTTACTCAGATACTCACATTTAAAATTATGCCGATTTTTTCGACACCTTGCATATAAAACAAATGAAAATAGAAAGGAAGATAAACTATGTTTTCTTAGATATTTCCTAAGTCTGGCACAAGGCTACAAGAGTGAAAGGCACTAGAGGTTCGAATCCACACGAGAATTGATCTGATAAAGTACATTGCTAAATTCTGCTTTACGCCAGAAAGCATTTCAAGACGTTTTCTAAACATCGTCTAGCACTTCTTGGTGATCGAATATAATACACACACATATATATATATATATATATATATATATATATATATATATACAAGCAATGATGTTGTTCGAAATGAGATGGCTATGACTTTACAACATATTCACAAATATTAATATTATATTTACTTCATAGGCTGTCACAAAGACATTCAGTAAGAATCGAATACTGGCAAATAAAGTTGGCAATCATATTTTCCCCCAATAATGACCACTGTAAAATCCGGTATCAATTATAAAAGTAAAAAAAATTGGCATTAATAAAAATAAAACTTCCGGTATTAATTCTGTTTCGAAAAGAAACATATTATTTATAGGTTGATAAAAAAACCGGTGTTACATGTAAGTTTCTAAAAAAATCTATTATTAATGTTAAATTTCTAAAATATCCGGTATTCGTCATAGGTTTATAAAATTCTGCTAATAATTATAAACTGATAAAAATTCGTTATTAAATATAGTTTGATAATTCTTGTATAAATTATAGGCTTCTAATATAATTCTTGTATAAATTATAGGCTGGCATTAATGATAAAAAAATCTAGTATTAGCTATAGGTCTATGAAAATCCAGCATTAATTATAGGTTTCTTCTTACAAGCCAGGGTTTCTCAACCTGGCCGATATCGCCCACCTGTGGGCGATCTCAACTGTTGGATAGGCGATGAGCTACTGGACAAAAATTGGTGGGCAATATAGGATTTTTAAGTATTAAATTTCAACATATGCTCCCTCACAAAAAATTACTCAAAGAAGATATGCAAAGAACCTGTATAAAAAAAAACCCAAAAAAACAAGAGGCTAAATGGTAATAACTGGATCACATTCCCAGATAAGATATAAATATTCCCCAAAAACAATGAATATCTGGGTATTTTCTATAATTTTGAAAAGGATCATTAACATTCAAATAGTTCTTCAGGCGAAATAACATTTTGGGGGGGGATATATTAGATAAGGGAAGACCAAGTACAGCAAAAAGAAATACGCTGAACTTTTATTAATTGCTCGTAGTGTATATACATTTTAATCTTATAATCGTTTAATTAATCGTTTAATTGTTTTGTCAATACTTTCAACGGTAACCCTACATATAAAAATAAATTATATGTAGAGTTTTCAATGGTCAAGTTTGCTTTCGTTTTCATTCTTCAATACGATAGCAGCAGCCGTTGCTGCATGTCAGCGTTATTTGTTACCTCGCTTTGGTATTTTTTACTACATCATAAAGTCAGTTTTTGAACCAAGGAATAAAGAGAACACAGCACATTGATGAAGAAGAACAAGCTTAGTCTCGTCTGGCACAAGGTTGTAGAAATGGAGCAGCTACTCAATATCAAACACATTACACTAATACTGTTCCTCTCGTCTCGTTTACAAAACCTCCATCTACAAGAAAATGTTGTAAGCTAAACCAAGAATAAAAACTAGAATATGCGTTTCAGAGTGAATATTTTTCCTAAGAAAGGCGCCTCGTCGTGGTATAATGGTTAGACAGTAGGTTTCAGAAATCATTACAGCGTAGTAATGAATTTGATCCTCACTAGGTGCCTTGATACTTGTAACCGTTTGCCAAATTAAGCAAAGTTCAGTAAATAACATAATTTTAAGAAAATATCAAATAATTCAAACAAACAGGGGAAAATGAAAATACTTCATTCAGAACTTCAAAACATTTGAGAAGGAGGAAGAAGTTATCTACCTAAATTCTGTGTAAAAAAAATTTCAATGATAAAGATGAAAATTCTGATCCTAAAATATCACAATAGAATCTACTAAAATGTTCTAATTTCAATTTGTTACTATTTATATTTGTCAGTCCTTATTTGTTGCTATTTTTTGTTTGGCAAATTGAGGATGTGCGGGTGGTGTAAAACATAGCGGCTCGGAATGAGAAATCATTACATTCAGTTACGTGCAAAAAAAACATTGAAAAAGATACAAATCCATCTCCTCCCCCCAGCTATAGGTTAACTAGTAGGGCATATATTTGGAATCATCCCCCAAAACTGAAGAATTATTCCTACAATTAAAAAATATTTTTCAGGTTTAAATAACTCACAAAGTGTTGATAAGCTGTTAAAAAAAACAAAAAACAACAAATAAATCAATTTTGACAAAATGAATTTCACCAATAAAGGTTCATAATTCTGTGTAAAATTCTGGAAATGTAGGCAAGCTTTCTAATTTTTTTATGGATTTATTACGTCTTTCTAGGACTCCATTACGAGTTACTGACTTCGAAGAGATATTAAAATCATCCGAGTTGAAATAAAATACTGATAAAAAGCATCCGACGTTTTATTTAATCAATTCATCTTTTGCTGAGAAGTGAGATTAGCAAAGATAAATGTAAAATGAACGACCGGGGGCGAAGGCGACTGGATCAGGAGATCGAATAAGGAAAACGTCATGATAAGTGACACAATGAATGCTGATAAGGTAAAGAAAGAAAAGAAGAGAAAGCCAAAGAGAAGAAAAAGGTATCAGGGAAAGGAAAAGAGCGAGGAATGGTTGGAGAAAAGCAGCAGGAAAACAGGGCGTGATGAAGGAGGGAGATAAAATAGGCGGAAAGAAAATTAGGGAGTGGAAAAAAGTTACGAGGAAAGGAGACTGAAAGGAGGGAGGGATGTCTTGGGAGAAATAGAGATAAGAAAGTAGTGAAAAAACGATAGCGGAAGGGAAAGAGGGTGAAAGAAGAGAGTAAAGAGAAAAATAGAAGGCAGATGGAAGGAAAGGAAGGAAGGGGCGTGGTAAAAGAACGTGGTGAAAGGAAGAGGGAAAAGCTAGAAAGTAAAAAGAAAAGAGAAATTAGGAAAAGCAGAAAGGTAAAAGAAACTAGGAAGGATCAGTTTAAGCTGGGAGAAATAAAAAAAAATGGCGCTAGAAAGAAAGAAAGAAAGAAAGAAAGAAAGAAAGAAAGAAAGAAATATCAAACGGAAGACAAAAGAAAGCGAATAAGAAAGGAATTTATGACGAAAAAAGAAAGAGAAGAATAGAAAAAGGAAAAATAGGATGAATGAATGAAGGTAGGAAGGATATAACAAAAAACGTTGCGAGATAGGAAGCTTGGGAGGAAAAGAACGACATCCAAAAGAGTTCGGAAAACGGACAAACAGTTGGGAAGAGTCATAAATTAACAAAAGGTCAGAAAATATCAAGAAACATTGCTAAAACATCGCTATGATGAACATTTAGAGCATCGGTTTTGACGTCATGATAATGGAGCGTCTGTTATAACCCTATGTCATTTGTGAGATCTATCACGTAACTAAGATCTCTCTCTCTCTCTCTCTCTCTCTCTCTCTCTCTCTCTCTATATATATATATATATATATAGGATGAGATATAGCTTTAAGTTTATATTTAGGTGTTAAAATGCTCAATATCAAGGATAGAGCGTATGTAAATATAAAAGAAGACATCGAAGTCAACTCCCAAATGACGTCATAATGCACCAATCACTGACCTATATATATAAAGTCGAACAATAATACAGCGCAAAATGTCCTGGCGATTGCGTTTAGCGTGAAAACAGACTTATATATATATATATATATATATATATATATATATATATATATATATATATATATATATATATATAATTTGTGAGTTCGTGTATAACAAGAGAATAAGAGATGGCTAATACCTTGTTGTTGCACAACCAAAAATATTAATATTGATAACAAGACTAATAATATTTATTGTATATTAGTCGACCTTTTGACCAAATAGAAGTAGAATGAGAAAAAATGAGAAAAATCGTAATTGTCGCACAAGACTGTGTCCTTTTTCAACGAGAAATAAAAACAATGAAGTGAGACACTTAGGAGAGGGTTTCACCCCCCCCCACTCCTAAAAAAGAAAGAAAATGAGTTTTAAAAATGTCGTTTAACATTTTATGATATTTACTTTTTATTTTCTTTCTCTTTTTTAGTCAGGAGCAACGCTAGTTTGGGAAAATATGATTTCATTATTTCCACCATACACAAATACATACACACGCAACTCATCTTTTCGCCTTCGATCTGATGAAGGCTAATCGGTGAAATGCATAGTTCGATGTATTTTCGGAACATTATGCTTTCATGAACGTTTTTCCAATTGCCAATACTCCATAACTTAGTTGGGATCACATTCCCAAATTTATAACGTGTATATATATATATATATATATATATATATATATATATATATATATATATATCTGATGATGCCTAAAATGGTCGAAATGTATTATCAAATATTTTTCCGAAGCATTATAATTTCTTGAAAGTTTTTTCCAATTGTCATTTAGTGTATATATTATATTCTATTCTCTATATTTTTGCTACACCGGTTTCCGTGATCTTCTTCAGGCAAATTAAAGGAATCAATTTTTAAAGGAATAAAATTTGCATATATTCTTTTAATGTTTCATTGTTGATTTTCTGTATTTGTAGTGGGCTTTGTTCTCATTTTTTTTCAACTGTTGGCAAAAGTGAATTTTTGGTAATAAAATCATTATTAGGTTTCGTTCTAGTGGTGCCGATTGTAGATATGGGGATGATATTTGACCCCCCTATCCCCACATGACCCCTGAGACTGTCAAATCCATTTCCATTTTTTTGTGTGTGTGCGTGTTTCCCTTAAGCTTGTACCTGAATCAGTATACACACACACACACACACATACATACATACATACATATATATATATGTATATATATATGCACACACACACACACACGCACACATACATACACACACACATAGACAACATTCTTTTTGTGTTGCATAGGGCTCACGTGTATGATCGTGAGTAGTCTATCTGTTTTCGACATTATATATATATATATATATATATATGTGTGTGTGTTCTCCATGGATACCTGTTTGAGCTTTCGTGTATATATATATATATATATATATATATATATATATATATATATATATATATATATACTGAGAGAGAGAGAGAGAGATGAGCATAAATATTAATAAGCATAAAGGCAAACTTATTTTTTCACTTTTCTTTATCTGCATTCAAAGAAAAACGACCTTTGCTGACATTTCAGCTTCGATCTGCGCTCCGTTCTAAGAACGTAGGCGTCGATGCTTTCTTCCTTTCTTTCTTACCTTTAGCATTTACAAAGATATCCCGATATTTGCCAGATGCAAAATTTTCAAGCATTTTTAGACAGAATATCTTCTTCCGAGAGTTTCATAGCATCAGAATTCAGACAACAAAACGTTCTCTTTGTTGGTTGTGTCTGGTCATATGAATGGAAACAAGTGATTTTGGAAAATGCGCTACATATGGAAGGACTTCCCATTCCATCTCACTGATCGAGTCTTGCATCGCATTTGTAAAACAAGAACCGAAATAATAATAATAATAATAATAATAATAAAAGCGCCTCCTTATTGATATGGCAGTCCCTGCTGACTGCAACGTATCTTTGAAGATATTCAAAAAGCTGTCAAAATACAAGGACCTTGAAATAGAAATCTCGAAAATGTGGCATATGGGAACATCAACAATCCCTGTTGTAGTTGGAGCCCTAGGACTGGTTGGAAAAGATTGCAGTAGACTAATTGAAGGGATTCCTGGAAGTCCATGCCTCAAGGAGATACAAAAAATTGTTTTGACAAGTACAGTCCACACTTTACGAAGGGCTTTATCTATGTAATATTTTTTTTTTGTCCGTGGAAAGTGTCATGATGCGATTTCTAACCTTAGGTCCCTGGGCGGAACCCAGAAAGAAATGTGTAAACGCCAGAAATCAAAGAAAATAAAAATGAAAATAATAATAAGGATGTATGTGCCCAGATCCGAAGGAAGCAGAGGATTAGTTCAACTAGAATTCGCTTACAAAACCACAACAATCGGTCTTCAAGGACACCAGGAAACTATGGAAGACTGATGATGTCAAAGAACATGAGAGAAGTAAAAAAGTCGGTTCAGTAATAAAGGAAGCCAACAATTTCGAAACTGAATTTCAAGTGAGTGAAGAAATGCTAGTAAACCATAAGACACCTACTGAAGCGGTAAAAAAAGACTAAAAAAGAAAGCAAAATCAAATGCAGAAACAATGGCAAGTTAAGCCACTTCATGGTCAATACTTTGCCCGTACTAAACAAGCTGATGTAGACAAACTCCGTACGCATCAGTGCTTACGTAGTACAGAGGTAAAAGCTGAATCTCAAGGTTTTGTTCTCTGCACACAGGACCAATGCTTTTCTAGCCAGAAATTACCAAGCACTCATACTGAAAAATTGTTTTAGCCCTGAATGCAGATTTTGTTATAAATATCCAGAAACATTTGAACATTTTGTATCAGGTTGCACGATATTGGTATCCACTTAGTATAAAACTTGGCCTGACAGAGTGGGCAATATGCAACTTTTACGGAAAGGAAACTGCGAGAAATTAGTATGAACATAACCCAGATTCGGTTACAGTCATGGGACCTGTAACAATTTTATAGGACATTACTATACTCATAGTTCAGAAAAATCAAAGCTAATCGCCCTGACATCCTGATCAGTGACCACAAAAACAGGATACTTCTTATTGACATGGCAAACCGTGAAGAATGTAATGTATCTTTCAACATCTTCAAAAAACTATGAAAATACAAGTATCTTGATATCGGAATCTCAAAAATGGTGCATATTAATAATTCCAGTTGTATTTGGAGCCCTCGGATTGATTGGAATAGGATCCGATAGACTTATAGAAGGAATTTTTAATAGCCTAAGCCTCAAAGAAATGCAAAAAATTGCACTCACAAGTACAGCTCACACCATACGAAGGGCTTTATCAATGTAAAATGGGTGTAATCTTATTTTTAAGAGAGTTCAAAAATGCTCAGTGGAAAAAGTCATAATGGCATTTCCGACTTTATCTCTCTGGTTGGGACCCGGAAAGAAATGAGTATACGCCAGAAATCAAAGGAAATAATAATAATAATAATAATAATAATAATATAAACTAGAACAGACGCGGTCGGGAATGACAGAAATGATGTTGAATGTGCACTGAAAAAAACACACAACTGAAAATCTCCAGGAATAGATAAAAAAACTAATTAGGAAGCAATGGATAAACTTCTCCCCTTGTTTAAAAGACCGAGAAGGAGTGTGAACCGGACGATAGCTTCGTTTGTCGTCCAGTTCACATTCCTCCCCGGATTTGGTTTCCGGTTCCTTCTAAAGTTTTTTCATTCCCTTTCATTTCAAGTAGCCCCCTTGCGGCATTATCGCCTTGTTAGTGGGAAATGATTTAAAAAATTCTATAGTAAAACCATTAATAGTTCATTTACATTATACAAGGTCATCCGATAAACAATGTTCAAATTTAGAGTCACAAAGATTATCAAAAATTCATGTTTAACTAGAATTTATTAATATTTGTGCTAGTATTATCCGTATCCTTCGTTATCAGTATCCTACCAAGGATTCATAATCGCCTTAAAGCATTTGTAAGCTTTTTGGTTGAGAGGAAAAAAGGGGAGAGTAAGTAATTCCCACCTTTTATAAACTATGCTAAGAATATTTCTGCCACATATGGCCCGGTGTCCCTGCTATTTACCTTGAGCCCCTGATAAAATCCAAAGAAGAATCAGCAATATTATTGGCCCTGATCTGGCAGCTCGGTTTCAGTCACATTCCCACCGCCGTAAGGTTGCCTCTCTGTGTCTTTTCTATAAATACTTTCATCGTAAATGTTCAGATGACCTCTTCGCTATGGTATCTAGACTTTATGAATTTAAGCGCTGTTCTAGAATGACGTTGAGATCTCACCAAGTTGCAGTTGAGCTGGCTAAATGTAACCGTAAGTTCTATGCTAACAGTTTCTTTTCTCGCACTTCCCGTTGGTAGAACTCCCTTCCGGCTCCATGCTTTCTAGCCAATTATAATCTTCAAAAATGTAAATGCAATGTCAATCGTTATCTATTGCTCTCCTGAATACTTTTCCCTCTTCAGCATATCAACATGGTTTAAATTTCGAAATAGGTTAGAATCAAATAAAACAAGATCTGTAGAATAATCAGAGTATTTTTCCCGCCGGTCAATGTCAGATTTGACCTTTGTTAATGGTGGCCATGTATTATCTCGATGGAACAGCACACCTTTACGATTGATCAAACTCAGAGACTTTTGCTTACAAAAAAAAAAAACAACTTTTAAATATTCTAACTGCTGAAATTGGAGACACCGAAATCAAACAAGTACAAAAGTTTAAATATCTAGGAAATATTTTAACACAGCACAAATCCGAATAACAAAAGATGCCTTCCAAATGTTAAGCAAAGTATTAATAAACAGCAAAATTTCGTAAAAAAAAAAAACACGAAAAGAGTACTGAACTGTTATGTAATATCAGTCTTCCTGTATAGCAGTGATTACTGTACAATCTCCTCCTAGATGAAGAAAAGATGTGAGGCAACTGAAATGTTCTACAGAGGCATGCTGAGAATACCATGGCCTGTATACGTGAGTAACGAGGAAGTTTTAAAAAAATTGATGAACAAGATGAACACTTAAACTTAAAATCAAAAAGAGGTAAATGAAATTTCTAGCACACATAATGAGGAAAAACAGCTTGGAGAATTTAACACTCACGGGGCAGATTGAAGCCAAGAGAGACAAAAGAAAGCAGTAAATAACATGCTTAGTGAGCTTGCATAAATGAATAGCAGAACAGGGATTAGGACAGATAGCAAAAAGATAACCCTTAATTAGAGTTATTAAGGACATGAAGTTGGGGAGAGCCATGATCGCCCACATCCGGAAGGGACATACCACATAGAAGAAAAAATACTGACAATATATGTCTACGTTAATTGTAACATTAAAAGTGCACCACATCATCACACTCTCAACAAATATTTACCAAATAGTTCAAGTCTCTTTTTCTTTGTATTTTATTTTGTTCGCCTCCTGTCGTTTTACCATCCTTGACCCCTTTAGCCGATCAGACTGCCAGGAATCTTGATCCCGTTCCGCTGGTCACAGCATTTTGACTGTTTTAACCATTAAATGCTGTCACTCCATTGGCTATGCTATTCTTGCTTTACGATTAATTTCGACGCCTTTCTAAGTTGTTGCAGATGACAATGAACCACTGAATTCTTTTTTAAGCTAATTCTTTTTTACTTAATACTGTTTTTACCTAATTATTCACGCCAACAGTATTATTTATGATGAGTTCAGACTAAATAAATCATCGTTAAACTCAATATCAAGTCTTATTCATAGCAGCTAAGGTCCTTTTCTCATACTTTCTCTGGCAATTCCTGTTATTTAAAGAATCTACGCTATATGAAGAAGGTAACGAGAAAACACTCCACTATTTTTCCCAGGAATGCATGGTAATTACTAGATCATGAATGGACGTGGCATTATGGAGTAGGCAACGGGAAAAATTTTCACCTACTTTTCATAAGAATTCATGGCAATTCACAGAGAGTCAAGCAAAGGAATATGTGGAGAACCATGATCATGAATGGATGTAGCAATAAAAAAAAATGATGGAGTTGGCAATGGGAAAGCACTCTACTATCTTTACCAAAATGGAATGGCAATTCACAGATAATAAAGGAATGTGTGTAGAGTCATAATCACCTACGTACTGGAGCGACATGATAATGATTTTCCAAGCGTAGCTTAGAAAGGCCGGAAGTATGGGGCACCCAGTGAGAATCGAACTCACTACTCAGTGATAACTGTTCTAGCGACACTAGCTTGCTAACCACTACAGCGCATCGAGGTGCCGAAACTGGAGCGACATAATATTAAACAAAAAGGTCCGATATACGCCTTGAATATTTCGGCTTTTTTCCTTATCTAAGCTCATAGAGTATTTACATGTGTTATGTTTATTTCGCAGACATGTTCCTTTTTTTTTTCAAATGACAAACCCGATGAATCGTACTGTTTTGACGTAACGTATTCATTTATGACTTATGAGCACATACTAGTATATGTTGTTATCGTTTAGGCATTGTAAATATAGCAGCTATATGATTTCGGACATTTCTGACCAATGACAATCCCATAATGTCCTAGTTTCTAATGCATCACATGCAAATTGAATGACCATAATTACTTGTAAATCAACAGGAGTAGATAGGTCACCT